TCAGTGAATTTATAGTGTTATCTCCTTGCCTACATTGGACTCCAGTCCCTGCATTATAATTTTTAGGTGTCTCTTTGATTGTTTGATAAACCTTCTATTTAGTGGGGGAAAGAAAAACTGAATGCCTTTGCCTTAGGTGTGGCATTTGTAAATATTATATCCTCTCTCTGAACATCAGTTGTAGCCCGCCCTTATTCTTATGGTCTCTTTGAATATTACCTTTGTTATTATTACCTTAGCTTGGCTAATTTTATTCCTAGAGCCTTGTGCTACTGTTTGTGAGCAGTTGAGTGTCAAGGTGACAGGGAGCAAAGTGCTCTCTCTGATGTTTCTAACATCGTGACTTCCCTTTGCCACCCTGAATTACATCCTGAGACCAGAGCAGAAGGCAGTGCATGGTTATCATGGCCACAGCTTCTTGGACGTGTTTGCTGGGGCAGCCACAGTGAATTTGAATCGTTGTGTCATTTTCCTTCATACCCTAGGTAGATGTTGATGCAAATTCATTGAATTCCAATGACGTTTTTGTCCTGAAATTGCGACAAAACAATGGCTATATCTGGATAGGAAAAGGTGCGAGCCAGGAGGAGGAGAAAGGAGCTGAGTATGTGGCAAGTGTCCTCAAATGCAACACCACAAGGATTCAGGAAGGCAAAGAACCAGGTGTGTGCTGTGGGACCGAGGACACTGGCCAGAACTTATATTTGGTATAATTGCTAATAGTGCAACTTCTTTTTTTTCATATATAATGATTTCAAGGTGTTAAGAATCTTTCCATTAGTTGAAATGGTTGAAGGCACCTGCTATATTTAAGTAATTTCTTAACATTAAAGTCAGGGTGAGGTAATATTATTGGTTAATGTAAAGCAATTGCGACTCTGTGCTCCTGGACATGTGTGGGATAAGTCAATGTGTTTTTCACAGAGGAGTTCTGGAATTCCCTTGGAGGAAAGAAAGACTACCAGAGCTCTCCATTGCTGGAAACACAGGCAGAAAACCACCCACCTCGGCTTTTCGGCTGCTCCAACAAAACTGGAAGATTCATTGTAAGTGTCTTATGAAACACTGGGTACCACCAAACAGCATTGGGCTATCATGTTGGCTGTGACATTTTCTAGCCATGTCATTCCTCTGATTCTCAGTTTTAGCTTACCTGAAAACCACCCATGATAATCTTTGCTCTACTCTATGATTTATGGATATGAAAGCATAGGAATACTGTAATATCCCATATAAATCAAGCTGCTCTTAAAAATATCAGCTGCTTTGTTCCAGTGTCAGCATGTAGTAAGTACTGTATGAATATGTGTGTGATTGGATTCGCTAGTTTAATAATTTGATGTTTTCTGTTAGCATCAATAGTGGTTCCTAATAAAACTATAAATTTTATACTTCAGTTTCCTAAGGGAATAAAAATTTCACCATGTTGATGGGATAAAAAATAATATGGAAACATTATGATCATTGGACAAAATCACAGAAAGCTATATATACACCTGCAAATTAACTGAAATCAGCAGGAATGCTTTATTTCATAGTCATTCACAGTCTTTGAATTCCAGGCAATTCCAAGTTAAAGTAACTGTGCACAAGAGTGACTATACTGGGCTGTGAAATATGTTGGGCTGCAGCCCTCATCCCAGTTTAACCATAAAAATTTATTTCTCTGTTTGATATCCTAAGCTTTTGTGTAAATATTTTGTTTAAAGAACAAATTCCTTTCCTATGTAAAAGGGTTTATCTAAAGATTTGGTCAGTACAAACTTTGTTTTCCAACACACACATGAGAATTTCCTACGTATTTTCCCAGGTATATTGCTGCCTAAAAACTAAATGCTCTGAAGAAATTGCTTATGTACAAACCACACTTGAAGCTTATAAGTGATTTGACCTAAAAATTAAAGATTTAAATAGCAAATTATAATAAATATTTGGTTGTTGAGTACCACAGTTGCTCATCTACTTCGCAGGAAACCCCTGTATTTTATAAAACTTGTCATCAGAAAAATCTGTTGTTTTACTCTTGCTGTTAATTTGATTTTGCATCCAAACAACTCCTTTTTTAGCATGTTTCTGTAATATTTTATTAATATAATTTTCTAATATTGAAATAAATGACATTTGTTTCCAATGAAGATATATTTTACAAAAGTAATACCTAGACTTTATTCTCAGTCAAGGTTAAAAAAATTTTAGTTTTTTTTTTTTTTTTGTGCACATATTTAAAAGAAACATACTTCTCTGCACTTACTCATTTTTCTTCTTTGATATTTGGAACTCCTTCTCCCTTCACAATTAGGAAAGTGATCTTATTCTTACCATTAGAAAGCAGGCTTTAGACATGTAGATTAATATAAGACAGCAGAAGTATTGGTTAAAAAAACAGCTTTTAGAACCAATTTGCCTGTGCTATATTGGTGATATTATTTACTAGGTATGTGACCTTAGGCTGGTTACTTACCCTCTTTACACTGTAATTTTCTCATCTGCAAAATGGGGATAATCCTAGAGCCTACTTTGTAAGATTGTTGTGAATAATAAATTAATTGTTGCATGATATAAGGGATTAGAATAGTGCCTGGCACAGAGTAAATGATATTTAAGGCTACTGCTTTTTTTAATCGTAAAAATAAAATTTGACAATAAATTGTATTTAATATTCTGTAAAAAGATAATATAAACAAATCCCTTGCCCTCTGCAAATAGTTAGCTTTTTTGCTTCTTTGTTTATTTTTTGTGTAGCAACCTAACATCTCATCAGATCATAACAAAGCTGTATTGTCATGCTCAGAGTACTGCAGTTGCCTGGGACTAGCTTTATTTAGGCTTGGCTCAGCTGGGTGGTTCTCCAAAGTGCAGGTTGGATTCATACCTGCTTTTCCAATGACAGAATCCAGGAGCACAGCAGAGCCCCTGCTGAGTCATATTTGCTAACATGACATGGCCCAGGCCACAGTCAACTCTACCAACTTAGCTATACTGCAAAGTCACATGATCAAGGAAGGGGTGAAGACTTGGGAGCCACAGTCCAATCTAGCAAACCTTCCTGAGGATCATGGGAGTTTTACCCAAAATTCTTTACAAATATTGAACTCAGATGAATTCATGCCCACTGGTATTAGGTGCATTAAACTAACTCTCCCCATTACCCTTTAATGTTAACTATAGAGAACATAATTTAATCCATTTAAGATAAAAATAATGAAACTTTGCATATGAATGTTATGTTATAATAACATTTTACTGAAAATTGTCTATTTATAAATTGATCACACCTATTGATTTTACTAAAATAATCTGACCTACAAAATGAAAGTCAACTTAATACCCAGACCATATATTCAAATGTCTTTAGGGACTAGGAAGGCAACATAAACCTGTGAAGCAATTTACAGAGAACTGTGGACAAATTGACTGTAGGTGGCTTGCCTAAAGCATTCAAATACGGTGTCTATATAAAGTACTGTTCTTGCCAAATAAGATACCATCAGTTTATGATACCCTATTAAACAGATAAGCAATCATTTAAATCTTTATTACCCAAAAGGAAAAAAAAAATGCATGTCAAACTTTATTTTTGCTCCAAAATAATACAAGGCATTTATATAGTAAATATTAGAAAAGTCCTGCTTTACTTTCGGGTCAGAAAGCTTTTTCATACATTTCAGATTGAAGAGGTTCCGGGAGAGTTCACCCAGAATGATTTAGCAGAAGATGATGTCATGTTACTAGATGCTTGGGACCAGGTAAAATTGTATTTTGTTCATGATAAGAGAGTCTACTTATGGCTGAGAGCTGACAGAACCTGCCTTGAAATGGACGTAAGGATTTAGGCTGTATTTGAGAGACTCAACAGTTTGGCAAAAAAGTAGATACATGTAGCAAATTGACTTTTTTGTTTATTAAAGTATAGTTGATATACAATATCATATTAGTTTCAGGTTTGCAACATGGTGATTCAAGAGTTTTATACATTATGAAATACCGCAATAAGTGTAGTTACCATCTGTCACTGTACAAAGTTATCACAATATTATGGACTATATTCCCTATGTTGTGCTTTTCATCCCTGTAACTTATTTATTTTATAATTGGAAGTTTGTACCTCTTGATCCCCCTCACCTATTTCATCCATCTTAATGTGGAAATAATTTCATGGCTACCATCTTTGGTTTTATAGTTTAAGGCAAAAAAACTTTTACTTTTCATTTATTTGTAAAATTTAATCACTACTTATTTAGTCATACATTCATCTGTTATTTAACTTAAACATTTTTAAATTTAATAAGCACAGTGGTGGGTACAATGGGGGAGACTGAAATATTCAGTCTTTCTCTTGAAATTTGATAAGAAGTTACTGGGGACCCTGGGGAAGAAACAAAATAATTTTGAATCAACGCACTAAAATATGTTCCTGTTATATATGTCTTTTCCTTGGAGAAAATGAATGATATGACATGTCACATCTGACAGTTTTTTTTTTAACTTATGTGGAAACTAGTAACAGTGAAAGGGAAAAGTAAAAATGTTAGGAACCAAATTATATAGAACAATTATGGAACACCTATCTCAATTAGACCTAGTCTTAGAATCAGCCACAGAGATTGTTACTTTTAATTTTGTTCTTAGTTGCTAAATCATTCAGTTACATTACACCTTAGCATCTTGATCTAAGAATTTGGAATTTAGTCAGATTCTCCCCAAGTAAATGGATCAGTTATTTCTAGATATGAAATTTAAAACTTTATGTCAGTAAAAAACACTTTCATGTATTTAAGAATTATAAAATAAGAACAATATTTCCTTATTCAGAAGAATTTACTCAGTCCCATTTGAAGTCGCCCTATTGTTTCTATAGTCACGCGTACTTTAGAATAGTTCTTTAAGCTGCTTATCTTTTTTTTAAATCATACTTTTCATTATATTATCATGCTTTTATGGTTTTGTTCTTTGCCCTCCAAGCAAATATTTCAGCACCTTCAGTATGCATTAGAATACAGTCAAAGCTACTTTGACCAAAATATCTCTGCCAACGTGTGATTTAACATGATTTAAATATACGGTAATTCAGGAGAACTTTTCAGCATGGAAATACCCAACCTAGACATTTGACAAGAGTACATGAAGAACACATAACTACATCAGCTTTTTTTTTAAACCTCAATGTTTAAATACTAAACATTATAGCACTTTTATTAAAGTATTACAGGATACAATACTATAGGAGAAGAACACTAAGCTTAAGTCAGGGATTTCTAAGGGAGTTTGGGGTGCCCATACAAACTAAGTGTGGTCCCCCATCTCAGAATAATGACTGCCTTATATACCCAGGGGTGGGGGCAAAACAACCAATGCAGTGTTTTTGACAAGGCTCACTTTAAACTAGAAAACACCAGAAATGTGAAATGTCGAGTCAAACTGGCTAAATATTAATTTAGGTGTTGGTGTCTCCTAATAAGCATAAAAATTGGAAAAGTGATTGAATTGCTATACACCTCTATCTCTACATCCCTAACTTCTGGGGTTGTTGTAAAGATTAAATAAGCAACATGTGAGAAACACTTTGCATACGGTTTGCACTGAATCAACATTCCCCAAACGGTACATGTTATTATTGTTTCACTTTTCAGATTTTTATTTGGATTGGCAAAGATGCCAATGAAGTTGAGAGGACAGAATCTCTGAAGTCTGGTAAGTCAGATCCATGGACATTTGGGGCAGTAATGGCAGTAGTAATGGCAATTACCAAGTTGCTGACTGCTTTTCACCACATCTTCCAGAACTGCAAATTGAAATTGAAAATCTTAGCTTTCATCAACAAAACTAAAGAGTAATGGAATTTTTAAACTGAAGAATTTAATGATAGTAGCAAGAAAAACATTTTTTATTACCTAATTTAGAATATATCAATTTTTTTCTGAAAATCTTAAACTCACTTAAATACTTCTTAAATTATGGAAATAGTAAAACCTCCATAACTATGAAAACATGTTTTTTAAAAATAACTTTTGAGTAATGCTGGCTCTTTTTATTTTAGTTATTGAAAATAATTATGTCCTAAGGATAATTCCATAGAGTTCAGTATTTTTTCAGGAAATTATGAGACTCTCATGTATATTCCGTGACAGACAAGAGAAATCAATAAGGAACTGTTCATATGGAACCGTATATGGCTACTTCAGGGCAATGAAAACTTGATTTATTATTTTTATTACAAGACTTTTCATTCTATAGTTATTTTAGCTTGCTTGAAACTAACTGAATTTATGTGTTTTTGCAACTGTTTTTAGCCAAGCTATACCTTGAGACAGATCCTTCTGGAAGAGACAAGAGGACACCAATTGTCATCATTAAACAGGGCCATGAGCCACCCACATTCACAGGGTGGTTCCTGGGCTGGGATTCTAGCAGGTTGTAAACTGATGGCTGTAGGGAAAAACAAACATTATATGGGGTGGATGTCCCATTGCTGTTTTGGGGAAAAAAGGGGGGGTTTTGTTGTTTTAGAAAATTAACCTCAGCCATATGACTATTTTTTAAAGCCTGATACTGGTTTGAAATTCTTTTTAAAGTGGAATTTTCTTACGCTACTATTATTAAATAATCTAAAGTAAACTTTGTTATGGACCAATATTAGCTATGCTGGAAACTGATTATATCTTTTTTTGTGATTTTTTTAAAGGTGAAAAGTTATGCACAATCTAAGGGAGAGTGTCAGGAATTTTTATAATTCAGGAACCATTAGCCAAACATGTTCTTTAATATATATGCTAGAGAAGAAAGCCTTGGGGTTATACTCCTTTCTGTGTGTAGTATTCAAAGGAATAGTGTATTTACAGGAAGGTTTATGTTAAGATGGCTTTAAAAGTTTATTCTTGCTTTCCTTCTTTAGCCAATGTCTTTGATACCATTAACTCCTAAGTGTCATTTTCTAAGAGAACTTTACTTTTTTGCTTTTTAAAAAGACTTTGAAAGCTTTTAACAGCTCTTTCATGACAAAATAATTTGTATTATCCACTTATATATGACAGTACATGTTTATTATCACAAAAGGTATGTACAAAAAACTTCTTAATGCTGCCTTGCATCATTAAAATATATCTCCTTTTAAAAAGGTGTTTTGTTGTGTTTATTCAAATGTGATATGTGACCTAATTATACCATATTAAACTTTTATGCATAAATTGTATTTAATATTTCTCAATTCATCCCCGTTAAGTGGTCAAAATTAAATAACTCTTCCATGGCTATAGAATTATGAAAGATTTTTAATACCATATAGTGCATGGCCCTGTTAAAAGATGAACTGAGGCATATAAGGAGTTTATTTGAGCAAAAATCAAATTGAACTGGCCAGCCCCAAACGGGAAGTGGTTATGAGGCTCCTTCTGAAGGGAACTCGGGAAGAAGCTTTTACAGTGAAAAGGCAGAAACAAAGTAAGGGAACTATTTATTATAGCTTAAAGCCAGTTGGTTGGTTGTGATTTGTTGTACTTAGTGTTTTAATTTCATAAGCTTGAGGAATTTACAAGCTTATAGTTTGGTTGGTGTATCTAATGCCATAGCATTAGAGCCTCAGGCTAATGGCTTGCTCGTTTAATTATAAACAACTCCCAGAAAACAAGACAGGCAGAAGCTGGAGCTCCATAAAGGAAAACCCAGCTTTGGTGGTGGGCTAGGGGTGTGGCTGCGTGAGCAGGGGAAGTTACATCTCCGTGGGAAGGGGAATCGGGGCGGAGCAGCTCTGAGGAGCGCTCCTCCTCCCTCTGGGGAAATGGAGGTGCACGTGTTCCAGACGGAGCGGTGGTGTGGGCCAGTGGGCCCGGCACCATTTCGGCCCCAGGGTGAGCGGTCTTGTTTGGGTGGGAAGGAAGCAGGCACTCTTCACCCATTATTTACTAGACATTATCGGTGTCAGGCACTATTCTAGGCACTTTGGATCCAACATGAAGGAAACAGACAAAACTCCAACTGTCACGGAGTTTCTACTCCTGGGAAGAGGCTAACAAAACACAGTCATTAGGTGGAGACAGCAGTGCCCACCTATCCTCGGTTTTTTGTGCACTTTCAGTGCCCCGTGGAAAACGCGGTCCAGAGGCGGACAATTCTGACGAATCATCATCAGGTCAATTAGCCTAACTCCTCCTCACAAGCCAACGTCATCCCTTGGCCTCATCCCGCAGGCGGCCTGTGTACCTCACAACCCCGCGGCGAGAGGGGTGAGCACGGGACAGTAAGATACTTTGAGAGGGGATAAACCACATAACTTTTATTAACAGTATGTTGTTACGCTTGTTCGATTTTATTACTAGTTGATGTTAATCTATTGCTGTGACTAATTTTTAAACTATCATATGTACGTATAGGACAAAACATAGGGTTCCGTGCTATCTGTGGTTTCAGACAGCCAGTGGGGGTCTTGGAACTTAAACCCCCTGGGTAAGGGTGGACTATTATATATTTAAAATATATTAGAGGTTAAGTTCTATGGAGGAGGAAAATACAGGGTGGAGGACAGGAAGTATTAGGTGAGAGTGGGGCAGAGTGCAATTTTAATAGGGTGGTTACAGTAGATGGTACTCGATGGGGGAGGAAGTGAACCTTGTGGCCACACCCAGGCAGAGGGGAGCCTGAGTACAAAGGCCCCGAAGTGGGAGCATGCCTAGAATAACGGGGCTGAATGCTGAAGAAGCTGGGCGATTCCTTAGGGTTGCCTGCTACTGTCACCGCTGGACTAGAAAACAATTCAAGTTAAGCAGAGCTGCTATTTTAAGCCTGGGCTGTGGAAAGACTGCTTTTCCAAATCCCAAATCCAAATGCTCAAGGGGCAGTGATGGTGACGGCTGGGAGATCGCGCGTCATCAGCACAAACAATATGGGGAGATGGATCTCGTGAGCTGCACTGAGCAGCATTGTCCAGCCTACACAGTGGAGGTGGTAACAGAAATGGCCAGTAACTCCAGCTGCTGATCACGAAGATTTAGTAGACCTACATTTAGCAAAGTGAAAGGCAGCTGGCAGAGAGAAGGGATAAAGAGGATTTGTAAAAATTAGCTGGAAAGGGCGAGCTAGGGAATTGTTTTAATTTTCACCCAAAGCTGAGATGACTTGGAGAAACACCTGCAACACAGGTGAGGTCAGTATGTGGGGCGGGCAATGAGTTTATTTCTAAAAAGGTGAACATTTGGTGGGTTATGAAAGGCTCATTGTTCTTTGATATAGTGTAGTCTTAAAACTCATTATGTATAAACTCACAGGAATTAGTCTTTTGGATTTGAAACGCAGCCTCCTACAGCCTGATTAATAATACGGAAGTTCCATAATTTTCTATTTTTCTTGGATGGAGCTATTGCTTATTAATTTTTAATGTGTAGCATTAGATTTCTTTGTTCTCTTTGATTGTCCTCAAAAGATTTTTGGGATGGAAAACCGGAACAGATATACTTAGTTCTCAGCTACCTAGTACTTTGCAGACCTTTCCTTACTTCAAATCATACAGCACGCTCATTTTTCGTGTGAAATATGTGAACTAGAAAACAAAATAACATTTTATGAATCTAGGAAAACCAAGTGCTAATCAGAAATAAGTATTATAGTCAGGAGTAGCATGTCTCACAAATTTTGAATCAGAAAATCAGATTAAGGCATTAACTTTGAGCAAAAGACTGGAAACAAGGAACTTATGAAAAGTGAACTATTGTTTGTCATTTTAGCTGTTTGTTTTGTTTAGCAAGACCATTAGAGAATTGGCCTCAAAATAACTTCTATATTGTACAGGTTATTCTGAGGAATGAAATTCTAATCAAAATAAAAGAATTCTAATATTCATTATATGTACAGGATGGGGCTGTTTTCATTCAAAAAGATGTATTTTCAAAACTTTTTTTTCTTGCTCTTGTGCTTTCTCCACTATGATTTCTCACCGTTTTAGTTTTAAAAACTTATGTTTGATATTTTTTAAGTATGTTATTTATTCATATTATACATATTATATATATGCATATATATTCTTTATACATATTAAGTGTTTTATATATTCTCTAAAATCTTTCTTAAATACCGTCACTTTAACATATTAATGCTTTAGTATTGAAAGAAAAAAGAAAAGGTTGAATTGACGTTTTACTATATATGCCAGATAAATTATGTATGGCCAAAAATTGAAATGTGAAAATGAATGAACCATGAAAAGAATAGAAGAATCCATGAAATTATATATATTGTAATATATGAATAGGGAAGGCATCTCTCAATAGCTGATAGGATAAGAACAAAGTAGGGAATAGCAGCATGTTTATTTTTTAAGGGCACTTAAAATGTTTGCCAAGAAGGAAAATATTCTGTGCCATAAAACAAAAATGGCAACAAATTTAGAGTACTGAAATCATACAAACTGTGTTCTCTAGCCACAATGAAATTTAACTAGAAATAAATGATGGAAAAATTATCTGGCTAATCTCCAAACATTTGGATAAAAGAAATGACAGGGAAATGAGAAATGTTCTTATCTCAATGAAAATCAAAATACAGCCTATCAAAATGTGTGGATACAGCTAACTCAGTGCTTAAAAAGAAACTTACAATATTAAATGCTAACATTCAGTGAATAGAAAGACCTTAAATCAATGATGTAAGCTTCTGCCTTAAACTGAGAGAAGAGCAAATTGAGCCCCAAGAAACAGAGAAGGGAATGACTCATACAGACTAATACAAAAAAGGGGGAAAATATAACATATTACTAATATCAGGAAAAAGTGGTATCATCACAAAACCTATGAACACTAAAAAGAAAATAAACAATTTTATGCTTATAACTTTGATGTTCTTGAAATGGGCTAATTCCTTGGAAGACAGAAATTACTCAAACTAACTCAAGACGAAACAGACACATAACCTAAGTAGCAGGACACACACACATATTAAATAAATGAAAGGTTAATAAACCTGGCAGAGAAAAGTCTAGGCCTGAAATTGGGCTTCTCTGTCATTTCTGTCAAACAAAAGCAATAAAGCCATTTCTATACAAACTCATCCAGATAATAGAAGATGAGAGAACATTTTTGACTCATTTATGAGGCCAGTATTATATTACGCTGCTACCAAAATGAGACAAAAGAAATTATAAGAAAGGAAAACTACATACTAATATTCCTCAAGATGTAAATATTTAAAATTTATTAAATTGAATCCAGCAATACATAAAAAGCAAATAGGTTTTATCCATGGAGTCCATTTTAACATTTAAAACTAATAAAAACACATCCATATTGAACATACAGTGGGGAAATGACAGCCTCTTCAACAGCTGGTGCTGGCAAAACCAGACAGCTACATGCAAGAGAATGAAACTGGATTACTGTCTAACCCCATACACAAAAGTAAGCTCAAAATGGATCAAAGACTTGAATGTAAGTCATGAAACCATAAAACTCTTAGAAGACAACATAGGCAAACATTTCCTGCATGTAAGTATGAGCAACTTCTTCCTGAACACATCTCCTCGAGCAAGGGAAATAAAAGCAGAAATGAACTCATGGGACCACATCAAACAAAAAGTTTCTGTACAGCAAAGGACACCATCAACAGAACAAAAAGGCATCCTACAGTATGGGAGAATATATTTGTAAATGACATATCTGACAAGGGGTTAACATCCAAAATATATAAAGAACTTACGCACCTCAACACCCAAAAGCAAATAACCTAATTAAAAAATGGGCAGAGGTATGAAGAGACAGTTATCCAAAGAAGAAATTCAGATGGCCAACAGACACATGAAAAGATGCTCCTCATCACTAATCATCAGGGAAATGCAAATTAAAACCACAATGAGATACCACCTCACACCAGTAAGGATGGCCAGCATCAAAAAGACTAAGAACAACAAATGCTGGCGAGGATGAGAAGAAAGGGAAACCCTCCTACACTGCTGGTGGGAATGTAAGAAGCTAGTTCAACCATTGTGGAAAGCTATATGCAGGTTCCTCAAAAAACTAAAAATAGAAATACCATTTGACCCGGGAATCCCACTCCTTGGAATTTACCCAAAGAATACAACTTCTCAGATTCAGAAAGACATATGCACCCCTATGTTTATTGCAGTACTTTTTACAA